CACTACACGAAATTGGTAAGTTCAAAACACTTCAATGTAGCATTTGGTATAACTAAGCATAATTTTACAAATTTTTATCAAAAATCAATAATTTCTACCACAAAATTTTCCAGTTTTATGTCAGTACATATCTGAATGTGTTAAAAAAGAAACCAACTACACGCTGAGCTGATCCGTTAACTCGCAAATTTTTTGAAAGTCATGGATGCGAAATGCAGAAAATCGTAGTTGATGGAGAAGACAGGGCTGGTAACAAAGGGCACAATTTTATCAAAAACATACCTCAGCGAATTGTCTTGATAATTCAGCCACCCTGGCCTCATATTCGCCTGCTAAATTTTTTAGCTTCTCAGACAGTACAGCATTATCATTTGTCAACCGTTCCGAGGTTTCACGCCCGGATTCCATCGATTTCTGCAATGATGATGACCGGTTGTATGAATAAAACATTTATTACCATTACAATAATTTTATTTTCTTAATTTTCACGCATTTCTTGCATCTGTGCAATGCAGAAAACGCATATTGACGAGGGGGGTTGTCTGTGTGTGCGCCTGTACCGATTTTTCATCTCAAGCCCTATAAAAGCTAAAGGGCTGAAATTTTGGGAACTTAATCTGCATGCACGTACGGGCCCCAATTCCTAAAATGAGCGCCCTTACCCGCGTGGTACCCACGTACGGGCCCGCCAAACTTTTTCACGGACAAGCTGATGATTTTGGAAACAGAAATGTTGGAAAGCTGAAATTTTAAGGGGGTGTTTCCTGACAGTCCTGGCGGCCAATCTTAATCTGTTTAGCTAGAAGCACTTGCCGGAAAAACCGGTGCCGGTAGTGACAAAAACTGCGGCGAATTATGCAAAAAACGCATCTTTGCACCGGCAACCGGTGCACTGGCCAATTATTTAATATTTGTTTTCTCTTCCACTCTCCTTCCTATTTCAAAATACTTTTCTATTACGTGAATCCATAAAGCCAATATGGCAGAATATTTTTAATGGTGTCACAACAGTAACAACAGAGTAACTGGACGATTACAAGCATTTTCCCACAAACATTATTGTACTGGTCCAACTGTGGTAATGGTAAGAAATGTATACAACTTAATGGACCGAAACATTTTTTACCATTATAAAATATTTTATAACATATTTCAAGTTTTATTAATTTCTTAACAGCACTACCTTTCTAACATCAAAATATTACCAATAATTTCGGTATTTTTAGCGCTCATTTATAGGAGGCTGAACGAATATCAAAATGGTCAATAAACTGACTGCCAGGGGATGCCCCAGTGGTCAACGAAAATGGAAAAGTTGCCAGCTGAACAGCTAACCAAACCTCGATTTACAGCCCGTAAAGACAAGCTATTCGAAGTGATTCATTGCCAAAGTCCGGCAAAACTGTAAGTAAAAAAAAAAAAAAAAAACCAAAAATCACCTGAATTCCAGCTACGGATTCCTTGAATTGCTCGATCATGTCTTTACGATTTTTCTCCAGTTCACGTAATTTCTCCCCGTGCTCCTCATTTGCTTTTCGCTGGGCTTTCTGCATTTCGCGGCACAGATTTTCCAGCTTTGATTTGGCTAATTCGGTTTTCATAAGTACAGATTCCAGTGTTTCTATCTTTTTTGTTAACTGAAAAAACAAAAACGGCGTAAATCGCAAAATAAACTTATTATTTATCTGAATAATGTGTTCTAATTTTTAAGTCAACTGGGGGACTGGAAATGAAAACTGATCATGTGTGAGA